TTCTGCTCATCTTTTTCTTTTGACTTTCTTTTTCTCTTGCTTCTCTCTATTACTTTTGTGGAACTGAAAATAGTCTCAGCCGTTTTCTTTGCTCGTTTCCTGTCTCAAAAAGCTATGACACAACTTTCTTAAGGGATTTTATTACCAAGCACACAGGAATAAAATAAAAGAAAAAGTGCTGCTTTTCTTTTTGTTCTGCCCCTTTCTCCCTTTAGATTTATCTGGGAAATATACAGATGTCTTCCCAAATGCACACACAGAAGCCGGAGGCTTTTTATTTTCATCATTTCATAAGGTCTTCTAGGAGTGGCTATTTAAACAGGGGAGGCTGACGTTTATTTAAACATGAGATTTAAATAAATTTCAGCATGTTTAATATTTTTAAATGTAGACTTAAACCCCTAATACAATATTTGTGAGAATAGTTTTATTTAGGATTTAAAATTTTTTTAAAAATTTATTTTACTTGTGAGGCAGAAGGAGACAGCGAGAATGAGAGTCCCCATCTACTGGCTCACTCCTCAAGTGCCTCCAATGATGGGGAACTAGGACCCCAATCTTGTGTATGGCAAGGACCCAGCCACTTGAGTCATCAATTTGCCTCCTAGAGTGTGCATTTTCAGGAAGCTGGAATCAAGAACAGAGCTGGGATTCTAACCCATGCACTCTGATGTGGGATGCCAAACACAGACCTCTTATTTAGGATTTAAAAAAGAGAAGTAAAGAAAATCAATAGTTGGTTTCTCCAGTAGAAATTTTAAAATAATGAAAAGATGTCCGCAGATGCTACACATTTTCAATAAGAACCAAAATACATAATTTTATTTAAAGATTTATTGTATTTACTTGAAAGACAGAGTTACAGAGAGAGGTAGAGACAGAGAGAGAGGTCTTCCATCTGCTGGCTCACTCCCCAGATGGCTGCAACGGTCGGAGCTATGCCAATCCGAAGCCAGGAGCCAGGAGCTTCTTCCTGGTCTCCCACATGGGTGCAGGGGCCCAAGGATTTGGGCCATCTTCTACTGCTTTCCCAGGCCACAGCAGAGAGCTGGATTGGAAGTGGAGTAGCCGGAACATGTGGGATGCCGACACTGCAGGCCAGGGTTTACCTGCTGCGCCATAGCACCGACCCCTGAAATACATAATTTCTTAGTTTGCTCTGCTTCTGAGCTGGGTACACTAGTTAAATGTTCAGTAAAAGTAAATCTTCCAGATTTATTGTGAAATAATAGCCAAGAAAACAAAATTGGCATGAGTAGTTCACTACTTTTCACAATATTTTTCCTGATGAATTTTGCAGAGATTGTCTGCATTCTCTTACAGATTTTCAAAGCAAAATGACTTTAATTAGAATCTGAAAATTATAACATCTGTATTTAAAGTGAGTAAGGCGTTTTTTGCTTTGCAACTTTGCATACTTATTTTTAATTTTTTGTGCCTTTTTTCACCATATGTATAATCAAAAGTTAAAGGCCGGCGCCGCGGCTCACTAGGCTAATCCTCCGCCTAGCGGCGCCGGCACACCAGGTTCTAGTCCCGGTCGGGGCGCCGGATTCTGTCCCGGTTGCCCCTCTTCCAGGCCAGCCCTCTGCTGTGGCCAGGGAGTGCAGTGGAGGATGGCCCAGGTGCTTGGGCCCTGCACCCCATGGGAGACCAGGAAAAGCACCTGGCTCCTGGCTCCTGCCATCGGATCAGCGCGGTGCGCCGGCCGCAGCGCGCCAGCCGCGGCGGCCATTGGAGGGTGAACCAACGGCAAAAGGAAGACCTTTCTCTCTGTCTCTCTCTCTCTCACTGTCCACTCTGCCTGTCAAAAAAAAAAAAAAAAAAAAGTTAAAGCTAACTCTTAATTTTATGCTAAAGAGGATTAGACATTAACTTTAAGCATGAAAGGGAGGGAAGGGAAGATTGCAAATAGTTTTCCGTTTTGGTGAATTTATACCTGTATGCATCCATTTAATTAACTGAGATAAAAATGATCTTTTAAATAATTTAGGGGCTGGTGTTGTGGCGTAGTGGGGAAAGCTACAGCCTGTGATGCCCAGCAGCCGGCATCCCAAATGGGCCTCAGTTAGTCTCTGCTGTTCCACTTTCAATCCAGCTTCTTGCCAATGGCTTGGGAAAAGCAGTGGAAGATGGCCCAAGTGGTTGGGCTCCTGCAAACACTTGAGAGACCCAAATGAAGCTCCTGGCTCCTGGTTCCTGGCTTCAGCCTGGGCTCAGTCCTGGCTTTTGCACTCATTAGGGAAGTGAACCAGCGAGTTCTGCTTCTTTCATTACCAACTAAGTAGTCTTGGGGAAGTTACTTGACTTTTCTGAGTAGTACTTTATAGTTTTCAAAGTATAATTTGGACTTTAGCTCACTTAATCCTTACCAGCAGCTACTTTATAAGGTCAGCTGGGTTGATATTATTCAGAGGGGTCACCCACTTCCCTACTGTTAATAGATAGCACAATGTTGGGGAGAGTGGTGAGAACTAGGGTTTTAAGATTAGACAGACTTAAATCTGAATACAAGAGTTCACACCTTGACCATATTCCTCATGTCTTTAGAGGCTCATGATGATAATTAGTCTCATCTTGTATGATTGCAGTAAAGGTTAAATGAGTTTCGGGGCTTCCTTACTGCTTTATTTCTCATACTTGGCACATTATAGTTACACATTTGTTGAATAAATAAATGGCTGGTGTAATAGAGATTCATGTGGGCTTTCTTCCCTTTTGATTTCTTGTTGAATTCTTGCATCTGGAACTATTTAAGCTTGTGTGTATATGTGTGTGTGTTTAAATTAACCTGCTTGGTCGAGTACATATTTAGGATTAAAAAAAAGGAAATTTACATTTTTAAAGGGATTTTTTTTTTCAGTAGAAATGAAGTTGCTGAAAGCCTTGATTATGCATGCCTGATTTTGGAGTTGTTAGGCTCCTTTTAGCTTACTGTATTTTATCACTGTGTTAGACCATTGTTTTTTAGTTGCTGTAACTCCAAGATGAATTAATCATGTATACACTTATTTTTTTTTAAACTTTTATTTAATGAATATAAATTTTCAAAGTACAGAATATGGATTACAATGGCTTCCCCCCCATAATGTCCCTCCCACCCGCAACCCTCCCCTTTCCCACTCCCTCTCCCCTTCCATTCACATCAAGATTCATTTTCGTTTCTCTTTATATACAGAAGATCAGTTTAGCATACATTAAGTAAAGATTTCAACAGTTTGCTCCCACACAGAAACATAAAGTGAAAAATACTGTTTGAGTACTAGTTATAGCATTAAATCTCAATGTACAGCACACTAATGTCATGTATACACTTAAAGTAGCATAAAATGATAACTCTGAAATTCATAAAGCTGACATGATCTTAGATTTCTGAAAATGTGGTTTTGTTTTAATAATCTAAATGCAATAATTTCTCTTATGGACATGTTTAGCTTATTGATTGTCATTGAAACTACACTGCATTATTACCATAACAGATATTTATTTAGCTTATTGACTGCCATTAAAACCTGCTTTATGCAAATTCTTTGGGGGCATGAGAGATTTTCCTCTATAGAGGGAATTAAGGTTGTATTTACATTTTTAGAGTGTGAACACATTGTGTTAACACATACATATACCCCCCCATTGAATTTCTTATGGACAGGTACTATTTTGTTCATTGTATCCTTGCTTAAGTTTGTGCTTAGCCAATAATAACAGTAGTTGTATTGTACTTACTTTGAAATTGTATACCTGGTTTTAATCTGTGACTGTCTTACTGGATTTTTATTTTTATTATTGCCCTGGTTCTTTAGGGTTTAAGCCCTGTATATGGTACTACTGTGCTGGATTGTTAAAAAAATCAATGTTTTGTTAAATTTTAATAATAAGCAATATCTTTTTTTTTTTTTTTTTTTTTTTTTTTTTTTTTTTTTGGACAGGCAGAGTTAGACAGTGAGAGAGAGAGACAGAGAGAAAGGTCTTCCTTTTTCTGTTGGTTCACTCCCCCCCCCCCCCAAGTGGGCGCTATGGCTGGCGTGCTATCGGCCAGCACACTGCGCCGATCTGAAGCCAGGAGCCAGGTGCTTTCTCCTAGTCTCCCATGTGGGTGCAGGGCCCAAGGACCTGGGCCATCCTCCACTGCACTCCACAGCAGAGAGCTGGACTGGAAGAGGAGCAACTGGGACAGAACCAGCGCCCCAACCGGGACTAGAACCCGGTGTGCCGGCACCGCAGGCGGAGGATTAGCCTAGTGAGCTGCGGCGCCAGCCAAGGCATCCTTTTTTGTTAGATATTGAAAGTCAATCATTGTGTGAAAATTTAGGAACCTTGAGTTTTCTAACTAGTCTTGTGATAGCGAATTGAAATTATTCAATTATCAATTAAAAGCCTACTGTGTACAAAGCACTCTATGTAAGCCTATTAAAATTTTATTTTATTTTGAAAGTCTGACAGATCTTCACCTGCTGGTTCACTTCCCAAATGCATGTGACAGCCAGAGCTGAGGCAGACCAAAGCCAGGAGTTCCCCGAACTCAATCAGATTTCTCACATGGGTGGCAGGGACCCAAGTAATTGAGCCATTGTCTGTTGCCTTCCAGTGTATGCATTAGGAAGAAGCTGGGTGGAAAGGGGAGCCAGGGACTCAAATCCAGGCATTCTGATACGGGATGCAGGTGTCCCAGGCAGTATCTTAATCGCCACACCAAATGCCTCTAAATGAGCTTCTTAAAAAGTATGTTTTGCTTAGGGTAAGCACAGTTTATATAATGCAGTGTTAGAGTTTGTATATCTTTTCCTTAGGATTTTATGACACATACTGGCAGTCTGACTTTTAAATAGTAGAAATAATATTTAGATAAAAAATCCAAAAAAATTTTGGTTCAGTTTTAGTCTCTGTGATTAATACTAGTTTTCCTTCTTCTACTTTTTAAAAATTTTAATAACTGGTTGAAAGTGACAAGTCTTCCCTGGCACACTAGGCATTAAATTCTATCTTTTCTTTTTTTGAAATAGATTTATTTGAAAATGTCTATGGATCTTCAGTGAAGAGAAGAGAACTTGAAGATCTGAAGGATAATATTGAATTCAGAGGTCATAAGCCACTTAACAGCATCACTGTTTCAAAGAAACGCAATTGGCTATATCAGAGTACTCTGCGATCTCTTAATCTGGAAGAAGAAAATAAGAAATGCCAAGAGAGAAGTCATTTACCCATCTCGCCTGTGACTCTACCAAAACATCAGATGTCACAACCTTTCCTCAAAACATCTGAAGAATACTGTACATATATGGTGTGTAATACTACAGATTCTTCATTATCAAAAAACTGTTCTTTAGACTTTAATGAGGAGAATGATGCAGATGATGAAGGAGAAATATGGTACAACCCCATTCCGGAGGACGATGACCTTGGTGTATCAGGTGCCTTGAGTTTTGGGGAGGCAAAGTCTGCTGTTCTGAAGCTTCCTGCTGTCAGTTTGAGCGTATTTTCTGGTAGTGCCCTGGTGAAAGCAGAGCAGCATACCGAAGACTTGCCTTGCTCCTCTGAACATTCAGGTGATGTTCAGACCATGCAGTCAAATGAATTGCATCCTGTAGATTCCATCCATCCCACAGAATTTGGACAGCAGTACAAGCCAAAGCTAGGACACAAGACACAAGAAAGTGTCATGTTAGAGGACAGTCCTATATCAAAATCTCCCTTTGCAGGTAAAAAATGATCCTATGCTTGGTCTGCCTTTCTTCTGCCTTCTGTTTCTTCTTGATCAGTTCTTGGATAGTAGCTAAAACCAAATATAAGTATCTATTGTGTTTGTGTACTTTTCCTTATAATGTGGTGACATTTCCATGAAAATAAAGACAACTCCAAAAGATTTAGAAATATTTTTATAAATGCAATGGCTTAATTATCACTATCACAGATTTGGTTTTATAATCTGGTGTGCTTTAGAATGTTGATCCTTTGAGGCAGTAGTTGCTCTTCTTTTAGTTGAAAGAATGAAATCATGAAGGAGTAGAAGAGAAAGATAGATACATCCTTTATGTTCATCTTGTTTTGTTCATCCATCCATTCATTCCTTCACATTTGGCCTGGACTCAACTGGAAAGTTGTATATTCATTGTACCTCTAGTTATTAGTTTGTGTTTTTGGGCCAAAGGAAAAGGAGAAGAGAAATGGGGGATAGAAGTTAACACTTTGCAAACAGAGGCTACAATAGTTAGAAAATCAGACAAGAAAGTAGTGGAGTGAGCCTTTCATGCAGATCAACCTAATGAATATATTTCTCCTTGATTGCCTTTAATTTTCTGTTGTGCTTCTTTTATTTATTTATTTATTTTTAAAGATTTTACTTATTTATTTGGGAGGTAGAGTTATAGTCAGTGAGAGGGAGAGACAGAGAGAAAGGTCTTCCATCGTTGGTTCACTCCCCAAATGGCCGCAATGGCTGGAGCTGCGCCAGTCCTAAACTAGGAGCCAGAAGCCTCCTCCAGTCTTCCACATGGGTGCAGGGGCCCAAGGACTTGGGCCATCTTCCACTGCTTTCCCAGGCCACAGCAGAGAACTGGATTGGAAGAGGAGCAGCCGGGACTAGAACTGGCTATGGGATGCCGATGCCGCAGGTGGAGGATTAACCTACTGCACCACCACTCCGGCCCCTGTTGTGCTGCTTTTAGTCCCGGGCAGGCAAATTACCGAGGAAATAGAACAAAGGTACATTTGGTCGCAGCTGTTAAATGTAGAATACAAAGCAGTTCTGTTTTATATTAAATCATTTTAATTTATAGAGTTTTAGATGATACAGAATATTCAAAGATGTGGGGCAAAGCTGATGCTGTCCATGCCTTTTCCTTTTTTTTTTTTTTTTTGACAGGCAGAGTGGACAGTGAGAGAGAGACAGAGAGAAAGGTCTTCCTTTTGCCGTTGGTTCACCCTCCAATGGCTGCCGAGGCCATCGCGCTGCTGCCGGCGCACCGCGCTGATCCGATGGCAGGAGCCAGGAGCCAGGTGCTTCTCCTGGTCTCCCATGGGGTGCAGGGCCCAAGCACTTGGGCCATCCTCCACTGCACTCCCTGGCCACAGCAGAGAGCTGGCCTGGAAGAGGGGCAACTGGGACAGAATCCGGCACCCTGACCGGGACTAGAACCCGGTGTGCCAGCGCCACAAGGTGGAGGATTAGCCTAGTGAGCCGCGGCGCCGGCCTCCATGCCTTTTCCCATCTCAAGAGCCCTTCAGTTTTATTACTTCCTACTTAAATGACAGAAGCCATCTGTATCTTTGCTTGAGAACTTTCTCTGAAGTCTTGCTGAGGGGTGGGGAGTATATGTGCCGGGTATCTGCAGGGCAACCTGGGAGTAGTTCTCAAGCAGTGACTGATAGGAGCTGATATATGAGTATCTGAGCTCCATCACTCTTTGAGTGATAAAATTCTGAATCAGTATTTTCATTGTTTCCTAGAGTTTTAAAAATTTTTTCCTATGAGGTTAAGCTGTAGTTGCCCAAAGTGACAGTAGTCTGATACTCACTTTGAATTTTCCCCCTGAATATTTTCATTCCCTTGCTGGTGTTTCTGTACTAAGCAAATAAAGTACTTTCATTTGCACCCTTAGAGTAAATATTATATTAAGAGAAATGAGTTGCAAAATTATACACAATGTGATGGTAGTTTTGAAAGAAATGATGGCCGGCGCCGCAGCTCACTAGGCTATTCCTCCGCCTTGCAGCGCTGGCACACCGGGTTCTAGTCCCGGTCGGGGCACCGGATTTCTGTCCCGGTTGTCCCTCTTCCAGGCCAGCTCTCTGCTGTGGCCAGGGAGTGCAGTGGAGGATGGCCCAAGTCCTTGGGCCCTGCACCCCATGGGAGACCAGGATAAGTACCTGGCTCCTGCCATGGGATCAGCGGGGTGCGCCGGCCGCAGTGTGGCGGCCGCGGCGGCCATTATAGAGTGAACCAACGGCAAAGGAAGACCTTTCTCTCTGTCTCTCTCTCTCTCACTGTCCACTCTGGCTGTCAAAAAAAAAAAAAAAAAAGAAATGATGAAAGCTATTATTGGAAATGTTACTTTTTTTCTGGATGTTGCGATTTAAAGTATTAATTTTTTACTTTGTGCAATTCCAATTGTAGACTAATTTTCCAGAGTCGATGTGTGTTTCTTTTGTAATCTGAGTAGTAGTTTGGAATGCAGCTTGTGATCAGGGAGGAGCGATAGGGAAGGCTGTTAATATCACAGAGAGTGATGGATATGGAATGGGACAGAGAAAGCAAGAGAGTAAGAACAGAGTTAGAAATCGTTGTCTGTGAAGTGCATTTTGACTTAAGGTTACTGTCATGAAAAAGTTTTATGTCATAGCAAATTGTGAATCTAGAAAAGCTAACAGGCATTTGAAAAAACAAAACTTGGGACTGGGTGTGTAACCTGGAAGTTAGAGTCTGAGTCCCATATTGGAGTGCTCAGGTTTGATTCCCAGCTCCTGTTTCTGAATCTAGCTTCTTGTTAATGCAGACCCTGGGAAGCAACCCAAGTAATTGAGTTTTTGACACCAATGTGGGATACCTTTATTATGTTCCGGGCTGCTGGCTTTGGCCATTGCCTGTCCCTTGCCATTGCAGGCATTTGGGGAGTGAACCAGCAGATGGGAGGTCTCTGTGTCTGTCTGTCTCTCTGCTTCTCAAACTTAAAAGTGTGGAATGGCTGCCATTTATATTTCCATTCTTCCTGGCATTCTTCTCTAATCTGTTTTCTTTAGCAGTATTGGCAGAAAGCTGTTGGGAAGTTGACAGAGAGACTGGTTGAATTTCAAATACATTTTTCATCAGAGAATAGGAAAGCTAATTTATAAGTAATTTTACTATGTATGACAAAAAATTTTTTAAAAATATCCTAACACAAATATGATTTATTGTTTGCTTCCTAACTTCCAATGGTGTATCTTTTATCTAATGGCAATCACTGTGGATGTTTTAGTTTATGCTATTTTTATTTACTATCTTCATCTTGCATTGTAACATGTTCATTAATACTCCTCTCAAGCTTTATGGAATCTAATTGGATGATGTGCCCTGATCTACTTGACTATTTCACTGCTATTGCAGTGATCTTCCTCATGATCATGTTTTGTTTCATTAAGGATAATTACTGGGGGAGGGGCAACATTGTGTTGTAGCTGGTAAAGCTGCCACCTACAATGCTGGCACCCATATGGGTGCTGGTTCACATCTCAGTTGTTCCACTTCCAATCCAGCTCCCTGCTAATGAGCATGGGAGAGCAGTAGAAGATGGCCCCTGGGCCCCTCCTATCCAGGTGGAAGACCCAGAAGAAGCTCTTGGCTCCTGGCTTCAGCCCTGCCCAGCCCTGGCTGTTGTGGCCATTTGGGGAGTGAACCAGTAGATGGAAAATCTCTCTGTCTCTTTTCTCTCTGTAACTCTGCTTTTCAAATAAATAAATCTTAAAAAGGATTAATTACTAGTATTATTACTGAACCTTTATGGCTGGTAACTATTATTGGTAATTCCTGTATTGTATTTCCTAAAAGATTCACCAGTTTATAGGGCAACTAAAAATTGGTTGGTTGATTAACTCATTTATTAAAAAAAAAAAAATCAAGCTCCTGCAATGTGATGTTAATCTCTGGGTGCCTCAGGAGTGTGCCAGTTTCACTTGACTCAACCTGGTTCATAAGTTTAAAGGTTTTCATTTTGTACATTCTTATAGCTTGGTAGTCTAAGATTTGGTTAGTATAGTTTTTTAAGTGCATGTCAGCTTTGGTAATACTTCAGCTCCTAGAATTTACAAAACCAGAGTATTTTTGTTTTATTAAATTCAGTCTTGTCTGCAATAGACACTGCTAATATGTGTAGTGTTTGATTTCACTTTAATAATCAGTGAAGGACTTTAGTAGGAATTGTTTACTTATAATGTGAGGAAGGAGAATGTTTCATTCCTTAATGATTTAATAAAATCTAGAGTGATTTAATATACAAGGTAGCTTTTCTAGGCTGTGACAAAATAGATGTTTGTATCAGGACCCTGGTTTCTATAGAATGTTTTAGACTGGGAAACCATTAGAATTGTACTACAATTTGCAGTACAAGAGGATGCTTTGTCCAGTTTATCAAACACTCTTTTTCATATTCATTGCTTAACAGAAAAACCCAGTGGGCATACTTAAAATAATCCTTTCTCTATAAATAAACTACTTCTTTGTCACTGGGTCACATAGAAAGGGGTAGAGGGAGAATATCATATTAATACTCTAAAGAAAGGTCTCAATTTATTGGCTTTAAAAAATGTTTATTTTCATCTACTCAGGCAGAGCAACAGAGATGGAGGTCTTCTATCCTGTTCATTTCTCAAATTCTTGCAACAGTCAGGGCTCAGCCAGGCCAAAACCAGTAATCTGGAACTCCATGAGTCCCCCATGTAGGTGGCAGAGGCCCAAGCACTTGAGCCATCGTCTGTTCTCTCCCAGAATGTATTAGCAGAAAGTTGGATGGGAAGTGGAATAGCCGGGACCCACCCTTGACTTTTTAAATGAATAAGCACATTTTATCATTTTAAAAAGCTACTTTTTAATGGGGCCAATGTTGTGGCACAGTGGGTTAAGCGTCTGCCTGTGATGCATACCACATAGGTGCTGGTTTGTGTCCTGGCTGTCCCACTTCTGATCCAGCTTCCTGAGAATGGTCTGGGAAAGGCAGTGGAAGATGGCCGAGTGCTTGGGCCCTTCCACCCGTGTGGGGGATCCAGAAGGAGCTTCTGGCTCCTGGCTCAAGCCTGGCCCAGACCTGGCCATTGTGTCCATTTGGGGAATGAACCAGCAGATGGAAGCGCTCTCTCTCTCTCTCTTTTTAACTCTGCCTTTCAAACAAACAAGTAATCTTTAAAAAAAATTACTTTTAAAAATTTATTTATTTGAGAGGTGAGGAAACATAGTGCACTCTTATTGGCTCCAGATGCCTACAATGACCAAGGTTGGGACTGGCTGAAGCTGGGAACTGAAACTCAATCTAGATCTCCTGTGTGAGTGACAGGGATCCAACCAACCATTTAAGCCATCGCTCCTGCCTCCTAGGGTCTGCATTAGCAGGAAACTGGAGTCCAGATTGGAGTTAGGCATCAAACCCAGGTGCTTAGATGTGGGAAGCAGGTGTGCTAATCAGCATCGTGACCATTAGGGTAAAAGCCTAACCCACATTTTCTCATTTTAATTGTGAAATGTAATGTTATATAAATTAGCTTCTGAAATTAGAGCTATTATATCTTATTGAAAAAAGATTTATTTATTTGAAAGGCAGAGTTACAGAGAGGCAGAGGCTGAGAGAGAGAGAGAGAGGTATCTTCCATCTGTTGGTTCACTCCCCAAATGGTCGCAACGGCCAAAGCTGGGCTGATCTGAAGCCAGGAGCCGGGAGCTTTTGAATCTCCTCTGTGGGTACACGGGACCGAGCTCTTGGACCATCTTTCACTGCTTTCCTAGTCCGTAGCAGAGAGCTGGATCAGAAGAGGACTAGCCAGGACACCAAATGGCATCCATAGGGGATGCCAGTGCCGCACGTGGAAGCTTAGCTTACTATATATGCCACAGAACCAGCCCCTACTTGGTGGTTTATAAAATAGGAATACAAGTAGAAATTAAAACATATAACTTTATAATAGCTTCCTTTTTTTTTTTTTTTTTCTTTTAAGGTCCTGGGATCCTAACTGCTCCAAATAGGACTGAATTGGGAATTATGGAACCATCTTCTCCAAGCCCTAGCCCTGTGAAAAAAGGAAGTTCAATTAATTGGTCTTTGCCAGATAAAATAAAATCTCCACGGACTGTGAGGAAACTTTCTATGAAAATGAAAAAGTTGCCAGAATTTAGCCGAAAGCTGAGTGTTAAGGGAACCTTGAATTATTTAAATGGTCCAGAAAATAGTCCTTCCTTGTCTAAATGTAACTGTCAAGAAATTCATCATACTGTTATTCTTCCTTCTGGGAATACAACCACAGCTGCAAAGAGGAATGTTATAAGCCGGTACCATCTTGATACCAGTGTGTCTTCTCAGCACAGCTACCAAAAGAAAAGATCTGTGAGTTCTAAATACTCCTGCAAAGGTGGTTACCTCAGTGATGGAGATTCACCTGAACTTGTAACCAAATCTAGCAAACACGGCTCTGAAAACAAACTTGGAAAAGGAAAAGAAATAGTTCCAAATACTTGTAGCAAAAATGACATAGACATCGATGCTTTTAGACATTATAGCTTTTCTGATCAACCTAAGTGTTCACAATATATATCTGGGCTCATGAGCGTGCATTTCTATGGTGCAGAGGATTTAAAACCACCCCGGATAGATTCGAAAGATGTCTTCTGTGCAATTCAGGTCGATTCGGTGAACAAAGCAAGGACAGCTTTGCTCACATGTCGAACAACATTTTTAGACATGGATCATACTTTCAACATAGAAATTGAAAATGCACAGCATCTGAAACTCGTAGTATTTAGTTGGGAACCTACTCCAAGAAGAAACCGAGTGTGTTGTCACGGAACTGTTGTCCTTCCTACCTTATTCAGAGTGACAAAGACACATCAATTGGCTGTTAAACTAGAACCTAGAGGTCTTATTTATGTGAAAGTGACTCTTATGGAGCAGTGGGAGAATTCTCTTCATGGACTAGATAAAAATCGAGAATCAGTAATATTTGGTGTTGATATTCGAAAAGTTGTGGAGAAAGAAAATGTAGGATTGATGGTGCCACTTCTGATACAGAAATGTATTATGGAAATTGAAAAAAGAGGCTGTCAGGTATTATTTCACTTTGTTTCTTTACTACCTCCTTTATTGATTGATTATAAGTGTTGGAGATGTTATTCAAGGTAAAGTAAACAAGTAAACTTGGATATTTTCTTGTTACTATTCTTTATATGTATCTGTTTAGTGCTTGGATATAATTCATACCTTAACGTCTGTTGTCAATGACTGAGACCATGCTAGATGATTCCACAGTTTATGTTTTGACACAGATGTGTGGGTCTTCTAAGATCAAAATTGCTTTACACTAGCAAGAGCTGATAACATAGGCAAAGACAGATTCATTTAACAAACTGTTTCTGCATGGTTTGACATTCCTGTGAGAGAAAGTTCCAATAGTGAATTCTCCAACCCTGCTTCACTCCTACTTTCTCAGGCCTAGTCTTTGGAAGGCATAAACCTATCTGTCTCTTTATTGTGGAATATCATGAAGTATGACGAGAGATCCTACTAATAAGAACATATCTCATTTTCTTTAAAAGGCAAAGGCAATACCTTAAAACAAAAGAAAATATAGTGTTATTTGTAGCAAAATATGTAAATGCTAACCAGTTAATAGATCATGTCTTCATTTATTTGTTTTAATATATGTACATAGTACCTGTACATGTTCTATGACAAAAAAAACAGCATGTCTCTGAGAATATTATTCTAAGGTATAGATAATTATATTCCTTTATGACACGTTACCCTTAAAAATCATTGTATTTTGAATTAGTTCTCCTTTGTTCCTATCAGAATTTGGCTTAAAAGACAAAAAATATGAGAGTAAATATTACAGAAGGTAAAATATGATTTCTTGATTTGCAGTAATGCACCTTGAACTTAATATAGAAACAATGTAAGTTAGTGAAATTGTCATTAAAATGCAGAAGACCTAAATTCTGATTTTTCCTCCATTATTACTTAACAGCGTAATGTTGGGCAAGTCACTTAATCTCTGTAAGGCAGCTAAATTTTTTAAATCTTTTTATTTAATAACTTTAAGAAAAATTTATATAATGGGAACAAATTTCCTGTCTTGAAACCTCTTCTAACTCAGATACATGATTCCATCTCTAGTTTATGTTGTTCATGTGGGAACATAGCTGTATTTTCCAATCCTAGTTTAAGTCATTTTTTTTAAAGTTCTCCATTTCTTCTTCCTTTTTTTTTTTTTTTAAATAGTGTAGGGTTCAGAGATTAGACAGACTTTAAAGCTAATTATTGGCCGGCACCACGGCTCACTAGGCTAATCCTCTGCCTGCGGTGCTGGCGCCCTGGGTTCTAGTCCCGGTCGGGGCACTGGATTCTGTCCCGGTTGCCCCTCTTCCAGGCCAGCTCTCTGCTGTGGCCAGGGAGTGCAGTGGAGGATGGCCCAGGTGCTTGGGCCCTGTACCCGCATGGGAGACCAGGGGAAGCACCTGGCTCCTGCCTTCAGATCAGCGTGGTGCGCAGGCTGTGGCGGCCATTGGAGGGTGAACCAATGGCAAAAGGAAGACCTTTCTCTCTGTCTCTCTCACTGTCCACTCTGCCTGTCCAAAACAACAACAACAACAACAACAACAACAACAACAGCTAATTATTAAGCACAAAGTTTTGTAATTAAGTATTAAAATGTAACTCAATGGCACTATACTTTTCATTTTTTTTTTTTTATTTGATAGGTAGAGTTATAGACAGTGAGAGAGAGAGAGAGAGAGAAAGGTCTTTCTTCCATTGGTTCACTCCCCAAATGGCCGCCACAGCCAGAACTGCACCCATCCAAAGCAGGAGCCGTGTGCTTCTTCTTGGCCTCCTGTGCGGGTGCAGGGGTCCAAGCACTTGGGCCATCCTCCACTGTACTCCTGGGCCACAGCAGAGAGCTGGACTGAAAGAGGAGCAACCTGGATTAGAACCCGGCGCCCATATTAGGATGCTGGTGCCGCAGGCCCCCCACTATACTTTTATAGCATGCTTTTTGAAATATTTATAAAGAGCAGCTGTATAAAGACTTATCATTTACCAAGAAAACATGTTTAACAATGAAGAACAGATTCTGTCTCTGAGGCATTAAGAATATAAAAATTCGCGGCTCAACAGGCTAATCCTCCGCCCTGTGGCACCGGCACACCGGGTTCTAGTCCCGGTCGGAGCGCCAGATTCTGTCCCAGTTGCCCCTCTTCCAGGCCAGCTCTCTGCTGTGGCCCAGGAGTGCAGTGGAGGATGGCCCAAGTGCTTGGGCCCTGCACCCCATGGGAGACCAGGATAAGTACCTGGCTCCTGGCTTCGGATCAGCGCCGTGCGCCGGCTGCAGCGCGCCAGCCGCGGTGGCCATTGGAGGGTGAACCAACGGCAAAGGAAGACCTTTCTCTCACTCTCTCTCTCTCACTGTCCACTCTGCCTGTCAAAAAAAAAAAAAAAAGTATAAAAATCAGCATCTGATGTTAATTACATCCTAAAATATCCTTTCCTTTAAATACTTATATTAGGTATTCCTTTTATTCATCTTTTTTAAAAAAAATATTTATTTATTTATTTGAAAGAGTTACACAGAGGGAGGAGAGGCAGAGAGAGAGGTATTCTCTCTGCTGGTTCACTCTCCAGATGGCTGCAACATCTGGAGCTGCGCCTATCCAAAGCCAGGAGCCAGGAGCTTCTTCCTGGTCTCCCATGTGGGTGCAGGGGCCCAAGGACTTGGGCCATCTTCTGCTGCTATCCCAGGCCATAGCAGAGAGCTGGAGAGGAGCAGCCGGGACTAGAACCGGTGCCCATATGGGATGCCGGCGCTTCAGGCCAGGGTGTTAACCCGCTGCGCCACAGCACCGGCCCCTAAATAAATATATTTGTAATGTCATATTTTTTGGGATAAAATGGTCCATTAATATGCTTCCTGTAAGAAGTGGTATTCCTTTCATTTGTTCTAGGTTTATCTCCTTCTCAAGTTCAAGGGGATACATCCTTACCATGGCACTATGTGACACCTAAACATGTGTAATCAGAAGGGCTATAATCAAGATGGTTTCTTTAGTTGTGGTAGCATTTCCTTTCATTCTGTTTAATGTTCTAGTTTTAATTTTTGGTTGATCTGCCCTTCTACCATGCCTTTCTTGAGATGATACAACCAGCATAACACCTGTTATTCTCAATGTGAATGCATCAGGAATGTGGATAAAATAGACAATTTGCATTTTCATCTTAGTACATTCCTTGCTTACTCTTGTTATGTTGATCCTTTTGAATGTAGCACTCCTTGAATTACTACCATCTCTTAGGAATAGTTTTGGGTTCTGTTAACTGTCTTTTGGTTAGTATTTATGGCTTATCATCTTCAATATTTTGGACAACATTTCCTTATTTCTTTTATTAACAGTTTCCCAGATTGAGTCTTACTTCTGGTATATTCTGTTACTTCTTTAATGACTCATAAATAAACCTAGAAATATCACCTATGTGTGCTCCTTCCTCTAGGTCATTTTTTATAATGACTCCCATTCAGATCTTTGAAGGATTGGTATTCTTTATTTCTGTCTTGAAGTAATTTATCCTAACTTCATTCAATTCTTTAACTTCCCAAATATAAGCAGTCTTTGATATGGAAGTGTAGATGACAGCCACTTTTTCTCCTTAATTATCTTGAAGGTTTATTCTTTTAAAGAACTCTAATAGTATAATCAGGAATGCTTTTTCTTTACAGAGATCATGTTGATATCCTCTCTGTGAATTTGTAGTGAACTTCTTCATATTTTAAAACCTAAATGAACTGGGTTTTTTTATTTTTTAATTTTTTAATTTTTATTTTTTGACAGGCAGAGTGGACAGTGAGAGAGAGAGAGAGACAGAGAGAAAGGTCTTCCTTTTTGCCGTTGGTTCACGCTCCAATGGCCACCACGGCTGGCACGCTGCGGCCGGCGCATCACGCTGATCCGAAGCCAGGAGCCAGGTGCTTCTTCTCCTGGTCTCCCATGGGGTGCAGGGCCCAAGGACTTGGGCCATCCTCCACTGTACTCTCGGGCCATAGCAGAGAACTGGCCTGGAAGAGGGGCAACCGGGATAGAATCTGGTGCCCCAACTGGGACTAGAACCTGGGTTGCTGGCGCCACAGGTGGAAGATTAGCCTATTGAGCCGCAGCGCCGGCCAATGAACTGTTTTAAAAGTAAATTTTTCAATTTAGCTTGGTGGGATGAGTGATGCTTGTGTACCTTATGTAAGTTTTGAGCTAGAGTATTTTTAGTCTTTAATATATTACTTTAATGAAATTTCCCACATCATTTTATAATCAATTAATTTGAGAAAGTTAAAAACCGTACATATACTTCTATTTCTTCCTAAGAATCTTTTTTTATTTCCCTACAATGCTTTATATAAATAGTATACTGGAACCTCATTTCTGACTGTATATTTATTATATGGATAAAGAAACTGAGTTTAAAGAGATTAAATAACTTGCCCAAATTACCAAGGAAGGAGGGACAGAATGGGGCTTTATGACCCCAAAGCCCTTGGTTAACTGTTGTGCTGTACTGGTTCAGTCTAGAACAAAAGACGTGGAGGGGCAAGTTCTTGGGGCATGGAGATATTGGTTAAGCATATAGAATGAAAGAGGAGTGATTGTATCTTAAGATGAGATAGCCAACTTCATAGGAATCAGATTAAATATAAATGAAACAGTATGATGTTTTAATTACATTTATCAGTATATCTTGGTTTATAGTAAGATTTCAAAAGCTGTTTGAGGTATTTTAACTAAATGCCATTAGAACATATTGCTTGCCTAGTTCATGTGATTTACTGTACTGTTACATTTTCTCATTATCAAGTTCACCATAATGTGGCCATAATTTTATTTCTAGGTAGTAGGCCTGTATCGATTATGTGGTTCCGCAGCAGTCAAGAAAGAACTTCGAGAGGCTTTTGAGAGGGATAGCAAAGCTGTTGGTCTGTGTGAAAATCAATACCCAGATATAAATGTAATAACAGGTAATAAATAGATTTTATCTTATGTGCTTATTCTGGAAAGACTATAAATGCAGGAAAGAGAATTAAATGCTTTTTTTGTAGCTACATGCAATTTGGCTTTATTCTGAAGTCTTCCTTTCTTTCTTTTACAACTACTGCATATTGTGTTATTTTCTATGGAGAAGTATGAATATATGGTCCCTACTCTCAAGTAGCCAGCATATGGTCAGGGGAAATGAAGCCTACATCAGCTGTAATTGATACCAGAAGGAAAAGGGTACCTTCACAGAGGGATAGATAAAATGCCTTGAGAGCTCAGTTTGGGGCTTAGATGATATAAGAGCTATTTGGTTAGAGCATTTCAATTTATTTAGTAGGCAGAGGAGATCCATTAAAGATTTTTGAGCATGGGGAGGGAAATAATTAGAGACTGTCCTTGGAAATATTTATCTGCCAACTTGATGTGATGTATTGAAATTGGAAGAGACCAGAGGAAGGAAAATAAGTTAGGAAGCCTTGACAATAGTCCCAACAACAAGGTAATGAGAACGAAAGGAGTCTTTTAGCTGTCGATATAGGAAAATGTGGAACTGAAAGGATGTGAGGAAAAATAGAGCCCAGACAAACTTGACTTTGAGACCTGGTTGAATGAGGACCATTAGAAGAATGAGGAGTGTTGTAAGAAGAGCTACTGCTCTTGGTAGGGATACATAGAAAAGAAGATGAATTGGGTTTTGGATTCAGTATTACTGAATTTGATAAGGAATAGGAGATCTACTTCCACCAAAGTTGAAAGTGCTACAGAGAGGATGTAGTAGGGGATGGTATTGAGGCGCAATAGGTTAGCCGCCACTTCTAATGTTGGCATCCCATATTGGAGTTCAAGTCGTGGCTCCCTGCTAATGCACTTGGGGAAGTAGCAGGTGATGGCCCAAGTACTTGGACTCCTGCCTCCCATATAGGAGACCCAGATGGAGTTCCAGGATCCTGGCTTCTGGTCATTGCTGTCATTTCTGGAATGAATCAGTAGATAAAAGCTCTCTTTGTCTCTCCCCACTCCCTTGCTCTGTCACTCTGCCTTTCAAATAAATAAAATATTTTGGCTGGTGCCGCGGCTCAATAGGCTAATCCTCCACCTAGTGGCGCTGGCACACTGGGTTCTAGTCCCGGTCGGGGCGCCGGATTCTGTCCCGGTTGCCCCTCTTCTAGGCCAGCTCTCTGCTGTGGCCCGGGAAGGCAGTGGAAGATGGCCCAAGTACTTGGGCCCTGCACCCCATGGGAGACCAGGAGAAGCACCTGGCTCCTGCCTTCGGATCAGCATGGTGCGCCGGCCACAGCGCGCCAGCCGTGGCGGCCATTGAAGGGTGAACCAGCGGCAAAAAGGAAGATCTTTCTCTCTGTCTCTCTCTCTCACTATCCACTCTGCCTGTCAAATAAATAAATAAATAAATAAAATATTTTTTTAAAAAGAGGATGTGGTAGAATTTGGGGAGTATTTTATTTATCCAAGTGGTAAATATAACGTATAGTACAAGAGTTAAGCTTTTAGGGGGCCAGTGTTGTGAACGCAACTAGTTAAGCTGCTGCTGGCATTCCATGTGAGTGCCAGATTTAGTCCTGGATGTTCCACTTCCAGTCCAGCTCTCTGCTAATGCTCTTAGGAAAGCAGCAGAAGATGGTCCAAGTGTTTGGGGCCCTGCCATGCAGTGAGTTCCAGGCTCCTGGCTTCATTCTGGCCCAGCCCTGACTATTGTGGCCATTTGGGAGTGAACCAACAGAAGGAAGACATTCTCTCTCTCTCTCTGTAACTCTGCCTTTCAAATAAATAATTCTTTAAAACAAAACAAAACCAAACTTTGGTACTCCTGAGAGATGGGGCTGAAAGTGACGCATTGAAGGCACTGACATATAGATGTCATTAATTGTCTAAAAAGTGTAAATTAACAAGAACTTTAGGGATCTCTAATTTTTGGAGGCAGGCAAAGGAAGAAAAAACACCTGAAGGAGAAAAGAGAATATTTGAGAAACAGGAGATAACAGGGTTAAAGAAAGGAATGATGCCGTATCATTCTGTGGGGATACCCTCAAGATAAGAATAGAGCAAAGGCCTTTGCCATTAGACAGTTGCTCATAACCTTATTGATAATCTTCAGTCATTATTTATTGGCTGTGTATTGGTTTTTAAATTTTATTTTATTATTTATTTATTTGAAAGGCAGAGTTACAGAGAGGCAGAGGCAGAGAGAGAGAGGTCTTCCATCCGCTGGTTCACTCCCCAGGTGGCCAAAAGGGTCGGAGCTGTGCCGATCCAAAGTCAGGAGCCAGGAGCTTTTTCTGGGTCTCCCACATGGGTGCAGGGACCCAAGGAGTTGGGCCATGTTCTACTGCTTTCCCAGGCCATAGCAGAGAGCTGGATCAGAAGTGGAGCAGCCAGGACTTCCAATTGGCAGCCATGTGGGTTGCTGGCACCGCAGGTGGTGGCTTTACCTGCTACATCATAGTGCCGGCCCTTATGTATTGGTTTATAATTCTGTGTTTGTTTTTGTTGTTTTTTTTTAACTTTATTATTGAAGTTCTCAAACATATGCAAAAGTAGAGAGAATGTTTTGATAAACTCCCTTTCTTCATCACCTGCTTTCCATAATCATCAACACATGATCAAGCTTGTCTCATATGTATCCCTCATTCCTTTTTTAATTAATTTTTTTTCTTTATTGGAGAGGAAGAGAGAGACAGAGATTTCATCCTAGTTGCTTCCCAAATCCTTGCAACAGCTGGTGCTGGGCAGAGCCAGGAACTGGGAACTCAGTCTAGGTTTCCCATGTGGGTGCCATTGGCAGAAAGCTAGGAATCAAACCTAGGTACGGTGATGTGGGACATGGGTGTTTTAACCAGCATCCTTCCTGCTTGGCCAAACGTCTGCCCCTGTATCCTTCATTTGGTCCTGCCTGACGCTGGATTGTTTTGAAGGAAATCCTTTCATCTAGAGACAATGCTTCAGTGTGTTTCTTCAGATCTTACGTGTTTTGATAGTTCTTTCTCTTTTCTCTCTTTTCTCTGTTGTCAACTGCCATATTTTTTTCTTCCAATTTCTCTTTCTTATTTTACACATGATTAATTGGCTGAGAATTTGAGGAAAATTCTCTTGCATATATTAAAGACATTTTTGTTGGTTGAAATGCTTAAAGCTTCTGGGATTGAGGCTTTCCAGATAGTTGAGGTTCTGATACTCTGAATGCTGAATGACTGTATTTTCATATTGTATTTATTTTATATTCTTGGATAACCAAAACTTTAATCCTAAACATTTGATACTAAGAGAAAACTGAGACATTTTTTCTTTTTTTAAATTTACTAAATCTGAAGTAATGGTTATTTTGTTTCTGTCTTTTTTTTTTTTTCTTGGTAAGGAAAGAGGCTTATTTAAGAAATAGGATAATTTCTAGCCGGCGCCGCGGCTCACTAGGCTAATCCTCCGCCTAGCGGCGCCGGCACACCGGGTTCTAGTCCCGGTCGGGGCGCCGGATTCTGTCCCGGTTGCCCCTCTTCCAGGCCAGCCCTCTGCTGTGGCCAGGGAGTGCAGTGGAGGATGGCCCAGGTGCTTGGGCCCTGCATCCCATGGGAGACCAGGAAAAGCTCCTGGCTCCTGGCTCCTGCCATCGGATCAGCGCGGTGTGCTGGCCGCAGCGCGCCGGCCTCGGCAGCCATTGGAGGGTGAACCAACGGCAAAGGAAGACCTTTCTCTCTGTCTCTCTCTCTCACTGTCCACTCTGCCTGTCAAAAAAAAAAAAAAAAAAAAAAAAGAAATAGGATAATTTCTTTAAAAATGGAGTATTCTTCCTTTGTTGATATGTAATTAATAAAATCAACCAAGGACCCATTTTATGAATTCAGTAAAGAAAATTTATGAATACCAGTGTCCAGATAGTACATTGTGTAGACAAAAGTAGATTTTTGTCTTGGTATAACCTTGTCTTAGAAATAAAAATTGGGATACGTGCATATGATTTGAAGAGATTAGAGACTGTGCTTTGGGTTGACTGTTTGCTATAAGACTTGATTCTTAGTTTTGGAAATTTGGAGCATATGTAGGATATGGACAGCAATAATTCAGTGAATTCTGACTTTATAGTGTTCTTTTCTAAAACTGACAGCTTCCATAATTTATAAATTGAGTATTTCTTGATTCTATTCTCGGTACTATTCTACTTCATTTAGGCTGTTTTTCACAAGAATTTAGAGCTGTTTTCCCTTTCAGTAAAAATCCAATGTAATGATTTAAGATTTATCTGAGAAGTATCATTGGAATTGAAATAAATTACATGCAAGGTCCATGTGACTCAAGATAAGACATTATTGGTTTGGGAATTGGCCAGTAATGGTGTTGGCTCATGTTTGTCCCACATTAGCTCATTTCAAAGTAAATTTGAAACATAATTAGTTGTTCAGTGGGCCTAAAAAAGAGAAGCTAACAAAATGAGTCACTGTTTAATGTGTTTTTTAAAATATTTATTTATTTATGTGAGAGGTAGAATTATAGAGAGAGGGAAAGACAGAGAGAAAGGTCTTCCATCCATTGGTTTACTCCCCAAATGGCCACAACAGCTGAAACTGGACTGATCTGAAGCCAGGAGCCAGGCGCTTCTTCCCGGTCTCCCACGCGGGTGCAGGGCCCAAGTACTTGGGTCATCTTCTGCTGCTTTCCCAGGCCATAGCAAAGAACTGGATCAGAAGTGGAGCAGCTGGGACTCGAACTGGCACCCATATGGGATGCCGGCATTGCAGGTGGTGGCTTTACCTGCTACGCCACAGCGCCAGGCCCTTAATGTGTTTTTAGTGGTTGATTTATCTGGAGCACAGAGTGATAGGCTGTAGATAAACCAAGGTTTTTTCAGTGAAGTATAAAATCTAAGGAACAAAGTTTATTCTTAATATTTTATGGAGCTTATTTATTAAACATAACAAGAGAATTTAGAAAAGACAGGATATTTATTACTAAAAAAAAATCTAAGGAGGAAATT